GCAAAGAAGACTGTAGAGAAACTATGCTCAATTGGAATGAACGAGGAAGGTTATTAATGACTCGCGAATTAGGTGGAGGAGTCAATGGTGTTGCCAATCAAGACAAAACATTGTCGGGGCAGGGCAGGGAAGGCAGGTGGGAGGAGGGGTGGGAGGAGGGGCAGCAACCAGAGCCTCAACAGTCGACGCATGCTGAGAGCTGTCACTTCCGGCGCTAGACCATTTGCAATTAGAAGAGAAGCAGTTACGAGGAGGCATGGAACATACCGCGTGATTGCTAATCCAGGCGGAGGCGAAGGCGCGGGGAGTGTGAGCGACCAGGCGTTGTCCACGGTGAGGAATGTCCCCAATCCAGTGTGCGGGAGGTGCGGGAGGTGCGGGAGGTGCGGGAAGTGGGGAAAGGGGAGGAGATGGGCAGCGGGGACGATCAGAATAGCTATGGCGAGAAAGGAGAACGCACATGCGCGCATTTGTTGAAGGCAGGAGGGCAGAGTCGAGCACTCCTGGGCTTGGCCGTCAGCGTGACGCCGAGGTGAAGACATCGAATGTGTGCATACGAAGAGGCGGAGTGTGCCCGAACTCTTCTTAAAACAATGGAAGTGATCGGAGAAGGTGCCTGAAGAAGAGGAAGGACGGGGCGCACCGGTGGACCTTGATCGCACTCGACTCGAAAATGTGTGTCGGTGACGACGACGGAGAGGTATTTCGTTTCGAAGTATGTCGCCACGATATCCTAACACAAGGGATCGATCAAAGATCATACAAGGTTCGAGGTGCTTATCGTGTGAGCGTTATCTCATTCGAATGGTGAATGTTGTGTAGGACATGGCGGGGAGGACATGGACCAGACGCAGGAACACCGGGGAACCCTGATCAGCAAGAACGATAATACAGATTGACAATAACTCACAAAGAAGAGAGGGTTGTGATTGAGACTGACAATATAGATGAAACGATGTTGATGGATGGCAACGGTGGCCAAGAAGTCTGTATAACAGCCAAGACGGTCGACGCATCGGAGAATTGTCATCAAGCCGGCCGACCCTAGACCCGTAGTCAACAGACCAGCATGAGTTACGAAGAGTAAATGAAACGCACCGTACAAATAGTAGGATGGGTATAGGTTGGGGAGGGCGAGCTCAGTCGGTGAGCCCGTTGGGTGTGCGTGATGGGCATGGGCCCGGTGATGGATGGCCCCGCGGTGTGCCGTTGGGTAAGGTTTGATCAGCAGCGATACGGTAGGGGAGGAAGAACATTAATAAAGAGAGGAAGCACTGCTGTGGGCTAATGTTAGAGCGAAGGCGACGAAGGGGGAGAGGTTGGATACATCGGGAAATTGCGGAATGCCCTCAAACGATTCTAAAGAAAGTAAAGTGAGAGGAGAGGGTGCCAAGTGGAGGAAGGGGAAGGAGGCAACTCACCCATTGACCTCAACCGCGTTTGAATGGCGGACGCCGTGTCGGAGCTGTCGCTGATGAAGACGGAGACGGTATTTCATGCCACGATGTGTTGCAGGGCCGTCCTAAAGCGAGGAGATTGTTTAGAAAGTAACCCAATGGGGAAAGAGGAATTCAAGGAGCGCACCAGTTCAACGTCATCGCGCACGAAGCACTGGTTGGGCGTAGGGTTCACTGTCGTGGAGGAGCACGCTGGCAACAAGGAAGACGTCAAGTGATTTTTCATTGGTTGGAATGAACGGGACAGGTTGTTAATCACTCACAAAGAAGAGGGAGGAGCCAGTGGGGTTCCTAATATAGACGAAACGTTCTCCAAAAGGGCCAGGGCCAGGGAAGTCGGAGCAGCAGGACCTTCATGAGTTGGCGTACGCTGCGAGTTCGACTCTGCAAGACTAATCATACTTAGAGGGAAGCGATACAATGAGGCACACAGAACGTACCGCGTGGTTCATAGTGTGGAGAGCGGAGTCGAAGTTGACTAGGGTGCATGGGGGACGAGGGGTTCAGAACGTTATCCCCCATCCATAGTAGTGGGGATCCGAGTGGGATTAAGGGAATGATCAGAAAAGGTACAGAGAGGAAGAAGAAGATACGTACACTTGTTGAAGGGAAGAAGGCAGAGTCAAGGACTTTCCATGGGTTCCCTGCTCGAATAAATGTCGACGAGGGGAAGACGTTACGCATACGTGCATCAGCCGGGGTGTCCTGAAACCCTTCTATAGAAGTGAGTCGATCAGTAGTAAAGGTGCTAGAGGCGGGAAGGAAGGAACGCAGGGGTTGATTGACCTTGATCCGGGAGGACGTCGACCAGACGGAGGACCGTCGGCAAACCATTGCGACTTCCTTGTGACCATGCCGAGCGACCTAAAACCAATCGTCACCAGAGGAGCATAGGACACAAAAAGAGGTATTAAATGCGCCTTATAAGTGGTAGGGTGGGTATGCGATAGAGTGGCTGAGCTGAGGATATAGGACGCGTGCGGCGTGTATACTGCGACGCGCCGGAGGGGGTGGGTGCACCGGTCCCCCCCAGCAGTGCGGATTGTGTGAGGAGTGATCAGAAGTGGTACCGAAGGGGGAAAGAACGTCCTTACACTTAATAAATAAATGAAGGTTGAGGTCAGAGTGAAGCAGAGGACGGTTGCGGTCGTTGGACGCGTACACGGAAGAGTCAGCACATTGACACAGAAAGGAGGATGGGAGCGGCACAGGAGTAAGCAGGTGTTCGGTGACATCCAGAAGGCTGTATACCGTAGATTGTATCCACTTCAAGAGCAGAAGTGTATTCGGTGGTGGGTGGGAGAGGAGAGGGGAAGGGGGGCATGAACAGGGCTAAGCAAGAGCTCGAGAGTTATATATGCGTTGGTGTTTAAGAGCCGCATCCGGTTCAATTCGCGTCTGAGTCGCGACAGGATCGCGTTTCGATCGTAATGAGTCCCGGGGAAGTCCCGATCTGGAACTGTTTTTATGCTTTGTCTTCAACTGGTATATATATTGCATATATGGGGCATCTAAGTCAAGCATCGAGTTGGAATGTAGACCAAGTTGCGGCTAGATAGGGTCCATACTACATTTGGGGCGTGGAGGAAACACGTGCTGGCACGTGCCAGCAAACATACAGAGATTCCGTTCAGGCCACCACAAAGGAACCTCCATGCCAAGTATGATCCCCTGAAATGCTCGAAGTAAACTTGTTTTTTTTCCCTTGTAGCAACAGCCATTCGTCAAGATGGAGACAGATTCAGCTCGCCAAAGGTTGAGAAGAAAGGCATTTATACGCCGTCACCAACGGCAAAACCTCTCTACCGCCCATGAGCAACCCCAAACCCATTACTCCTTCATGGTCGGGCTGTAGAAGGTACAAATGCTATATTAAATGATATTACATCGCTATGACAACCCGAAATACTCCCACTCGCGCTCCACAAACGCGACCATATAATCGATAGTCGTACCTCCGACATCTTCCTCCTCTTCAGGCCCTAGTGCACCACTATCCTCAAATGGCACATTCGTACGGCTGATTCGATCATCAAAATCGGCTGCATCCTCCTTCTCTTCGTTCAAGGCGATGCGCGCGGCCTCCGCGTCCGCTTGATCCTCCACCTGCGCCAAAGCCTGCTCCATCTGCAAGTCGTCCACTAAGATCCTGCGCCAATCGAAATCGCCCTGCCGTATTACCACATCGTCCAGGGTTCGCTTGTGGTTAGCGGTTAGCAGCATGTTCTCTTCTATTGTGTGTTTCGTAATGAAGCGATATATGTGCACGTCTCTAGTCTGTCCAATACGATGTGCACTAAAATGAGCCGTGCTCAGCTATCAGATCGACATCGTCAGTTCGCAAACGCACCGGTCTTCACATTGACGGTCCATGGCGGGATTGAAGTCACTGTCGTAGAAAATGACGGTGTCCGCTCCGGTCAAGCTAGCCATAAGAGGTCAGACAATATCAGAATACCTCTTGATTCCCTTACTTGATTCCAACTCCGCCGGATCGGCTGGATGCAATGAAGGCGAATATCCGAGCATCCGCATTAAATCTTTCCGTCACAAGTTGGCGCTGCTCGATCTTGGTAGCACCGTCAAGCCGCAGGTAACGATAGCCGTGTAAGTTGAGAAAAATTTCCAGGATATCCAGGACCTTTGTCATTTGAGTGAAAATAAGGACGCGATGGTTTCCGGCTTTCCGTTCCCGCAAAAGAACGTCGAGCTCCTGCAATTTCCCACAATCGTACTGAAGTAAACGAGCCTCAGGGAAAGCGATCTGAAGCTTTACACTGACATCATGTAGCGTGTCGAAAGCGGGTTCAGCTAAATCCGGGTGTTCTTCCAGTTGTACACCCGGCAGTGCGATACGGGGCAGATCAAGCGCGACAGCTGCTGGGGTGACGAACGCGAACTGGTCGATGGATTTGGCTAATGAACAAACACGCTGGTGATATGACTGCACAGCAGCATGAACTCGGTCCAGTTTCTTCAGCAAAAAGCGCCTGTTGAGCTCAGCTTCTTCAAGGGGTACCACCTGGTAGTGCATCTTCCGGACTTGACGGAGGAGCTCGAAGCCATAGACAGGGTGTTGGGTACAACGACGCGAATTCAGGTAACCGATATGTTGCCAACGTGCTCGTGTGGCTTCGCGCTCCTGCCACTCGATGTGCTTGTTAAAAGCCTCCATGCCGACTATGTCGTGGGGCGGGGGCTCCTCTGGAAGATCAGCGATGAAGGGCAGCTTGGAGGTTGCATCCAAGAGACACATGTCATGACAAGCGTGCGCTGAAATGTTTTCATTGTGGGTAAAGACGAGCCCGGTAACCTTGAGATCCACTGGCTGGAACTCCTCTTCGGCGAACATTCTACGTCGAATTAGAAGCTCTTTGATTTCGAAGTCGGCTATGGCAGATCTTGATTTACCCATAGCGAATGAGGTCAGGATTGGCCGAACTTCGAAGAGATCTGGATGATTACAAATTTTGCGCAGCTGCATCAACAAGTTCACCACGCTGAGGAAACTGCCCGTGGCGAGTGTCTCGCGTGTGCTTGCCCGTTGCATAAACTCGTCGTACAGAAGTCGCTGACGCTTGGACAGACGGCACTCAACGATATGTTCGTACTTCGCAGGCAGCTGCTTCTCTACTTCACTTTTCATGCGCCGGAGGATATAAGGGCGTAGAAGAGTATGGAGCTTGTTCACGGTCTCCAGTGTCTCGTCGTCCAATTGCGCACCATCAGTATTGCTGATTGCCTTGTCCATAGGATCTGTTCAAAGCTCAGAAGCGACCTGCTTCGGAGGAGAAAACGGACTCACTTGAGAACCATTCAGCAAATTGCTTCTGTCCAGCAAACGTTCCCGCGCTGAATTCCTCAGATAAACCACTAGGCATTAAGAAATACAACAACGACCAAAGCTCCATGAGATTATTCTGCAAAGGGGTTCCGGTGAGAAGTAAACGGCGTTGAGAGTGGAAACCGAGCAGGGTCTGCCATCTCTGTGAACGGAAGTTCTTGATATTGTGTGCTTCATCCAGAATCATGTAACGCCATTGCTTTCGGCGAAATATGTGCTGATCGGCTAGTACCAATTGATACGAAGTGATACAGACGTTGAAATGGAACTCCGTGTTCCAGCCGTGACGTTTCTCCCTGCGCTCTTTGATGCTCCCGTAGTAGGTGAGAATCTTGAACCCTGGCAAGAATCGCTTGAACTCCATCTCCCAATTGAGCAAGACGCTGGTGGGAACGATGATCAAGTGAGGTCCCCATATCCCGCGATCGCAAGCTAGATGCGCCAAAAGAGCAATAGTTTGGATTGTTTTCCTACATGGACCATTTCAGTGAATGTCAAAGAAGCAATGAATGAACTTACCCTAGACCCATTTCGTCCCTGGAACAGAACGGTGAGCGTGACGGTGCGGAAGAAGCTGAATTGACCTACGCGAGGATTCCATTCAGTCCGTTGTTGTACAGGCTAACAAGCCATTCTAAGCCAGCATGCTGGTACGGTCGAAGTGCACCTCGCAATAGAAAGGGCGGTCGAATTCTCCCGTCCACAGCTTTGTCAATACTCGACTCTGCTTCTGAAGCTTCTTCCATTTCTTCGTCCTTTGCAGAGATAGATTCCTCAGCCGCGTCAGTTCTGTCCCCCATAGAGGCTAAAGCAGCCGGGTGGGCTTCCTCATGGAAATGCACAGTGTGTACAGTAGTCGAACTTTCTGACGCAACTGAGTCCTCTGGGACCACCTGTTTCACGGTGGATGAACCCGTTGATGATAGTGCCTCGACGGTACGGTCCTCCAAGAGAAACATCTTGCCATTCTCGGCTGTCAGGGCGGTCATTTGTCCTTCAGCAGTGTCGAAGTCACCGCAATGATCGGAATTGACATCATCTTCTAAGACAGTATATCCATATTGACGTAGGAGAGCTTCGATAGGGATGTCTGCGTCTTGCTGAAGGCCTCCAATCTCCTCATCACTATCATCATTCTTGTTGTCCTCCTCTTCCATGGCGTGCTCCATTTCGCGGTCCTGCTCCTCAATATCGCTGCTAACTTCCATGTTGAAGTCGCCATCATCTTCCTCGTGAAGTACAAGTGCAGGAGAAACCGGTTCAGCCTGAACACGACCATTGAGGGGATTTGCGAGGTTCGCGGTGGCAATATTTTGTTGACCATCGTTTTGGAAATGTGTCTGTTTCCATTCTTCAAACGTGTCCAGATTTGCCAATGTAGGCTCGTCACTGCGTCGCGGAGGGCGGCGCCATCCATGACTCTTCAAGACAATAGTTTTCGCATCGCTGTTTACCATTTCCGTTGATGGGGAGATGAAACCGTCACCGGCCTGTAAGTGATTCGTATGAACTCTTGCAAGAGCGGGGCCTTCAACATGTTCTGGGATGCTGTGGTCTGTCTCATCATCCACATATTGACCATCACCATCTGTATCTTCCAATTGCTCGTGCGGTTCTTCAGGAGAGTGATCTTCAGCCATTTCTCCGTCTGACTGCACTTCTTCGTTCGTGTCCTCGTCGTCGGTATCCCCATCCACATCGGACCCATAATTTGTTCCTTCTTCAGACTGAGATGATGAATCGGTCCAGGATGCCGGTGTGCTGGCTGAACCAGAACGACCACCTCTGGTGAGATCCATCTGTTGGGCTTCCAGCACCTGAGTCGATTGTTCGAGGATTGCATTCAGCTGTTTCTTCCCCTGTCGTGCAAGCTCCTCCTTCTCCAAGACAGATCTTACTTCACGGACATGCTGAAGCAGATCAGAACGATTCAGCAATAATCAAATATCCCAGACGTACGTTGATAGCCTCCCGCCACTTTTTTATCACTTCTCGTACAATAAACTTCGCCAAAGCACGTAGCCGTTTCTCTTCTCCCAAGCGTTCTCGCTCCTCCGTCTGCGCAATCCGGTCGAAGTGCGCAGCCACTGCTCTCGAAATGCGCCTGGTGACGTTCTGCTTTGCCCTGAGCTCGTCCTGCATTCGCTTCATCTGGATGGCAGCGTGAGAGATAACCACATCCCAGTGAGAGAGCGGCCTCTTGGCTTCAAATGAGACAGGCGCGGCCACAGGACGTTCCGGTTGTGCACGTAATCGTCCTTTAGCTTGAAGAGCTGTGATTCGATCATACAAGATGGCATCACGACTCGCAGAAGCTTCGAGTTCAGATACGGTGACCTCCTCGTCCCCGACAGTGAAATACGAGTCCAAATAGTCGTCCACCGATCTGGCAAATTTCGGTCTGGATGGTTTTTGGTCTGGGTTTGTATATTCTGCGGGGGGCAATTTGACAGTAAAGCGTATTCGTTTGACTTTCGCGAAAGTGGAGTTGAGTTCGATGGGACGCGGTCGTTTCAGAGGCCGAACTAATGGCAAGGTCGGTCCTTCGGAAGACGTCGAGAGAGCGTGGTTTGACAGTGGGGACGAAAGCGCTAAATCATGGGGTTGGTGGCGAGAAGAAAGACGTCGTAACTCGTGACCGTTGGCAAAATCGTCTGTAGCATGACGAGCATGTGTGCCTCGATTATTGGTCAGCCCAGTCGGCGCTGACAGTTCCGAGCTTTCGAGCTCCGCTGCTGTCCCATTGCTTTTGGACGAACGAGAGGAAGACATTGATGTCAGAGCGGCTAGCAATTCGGCGCCTTCAGATGCTCGATGCCTCGTACTACGGGGGGGATTCGAAGGAATTGCGTTCAGTAAATTGAATTGGGATTCGAACTGTGAGTGAATCAGCAGCCGGTATAGGAACGCATAGATGTCGTGACTGACTTCGTGATACACGCTGCTCTTGTCTTGCTTGGCGTCCTGGACAAATGTGTCAGCACTAGCACACAAGTCAATGATGAGGACCCACCTCTGGCTCATAGCCGACCATCGTTACAAAGTTTTCTAGGTGAAACGCCTCGCGCACCTTTTCAGTCTCATGTAAGTTATACCACGAGAGCTCGCTTAACATATTTTGAGCGCACCAATGCGTCGTGCTCTCCGAAGACAATCCTCAAATTGTTTTGCCTCTCTCGGATGAGCACTTGACGTCTATTCTCGATCGGGTTACTTGACAGGTGATGGTGAGAATACAGAAATGCATTGAAATCCGGGCTTGGTGCATCTGCCCGAGTGGGCTGTAGTCGGCTGGAATTGCGTCTCTTGGTCTGCGCAGAAGACGCGGTTTGTGATGATGGTTGACGTATGTTACGACCTGACATCTTCGCCCTGACCCGACGCGCCCATTTCGCACGCGGACCTAAAATGTGATTCTGTCAATCGCACCCCTCTCGCCTCGATCTTGACCGTGCTTCTGAATCCTCTGCGCTCAAACTAATGTTTTCTCCTGAGATCTGACGATATTTTGACGGAGTCAAGGTGACCATTCGAGTTAAAGTAGACGGGTGGGCTACATCTGCTCGCGCCTGAATCGTGGTGTGACATGCCAAGCGCCTCTTGTCTGCGTACACTAACTGCCTACAACTTCCATTCATGAGTTGTTCAGCGTGTCCTACTTGAGCTCAACACTCGGATCATCTCTGGCAGCAATGAACTCCAGTAAACCTCCTATAATAAAAGGCCTTGTTTAATCCAAGGAAGTCGGTCTGACAAATTGGGGAGGTCTCGGAAGCTTTTTCTAGTCATCGATTTACAAATTCTGCTCGCGTGTTCATATTGACATAATTGCTACAATACCCAGCCCGTGTAATTTGCCAACTGCCATGCCTGGCTTTGAGTCAGTCTAATTCAATGACGATACAGACTTGGTTCTGTCCGCCTCACCAATAGAAGGGGGCAGGAATCCTATGTTGGTCAAGTTCCTGGATTCTGGTCGCCTACCCGCCGGCTGTTTCAGTTATTGCAAGTCCTTCATCCAGCTTTTTGGGAGCTCTCCATTCGCGCCCTTAGAGGTGGTCGCCGATACGACTCGGCGAAACATTCAACTGCCATCCCAGGAGCTCGAAACACCTTTCTACACTGATCTAAACTCCGGGGACAACCTTCCTGTTTGTGACTCTACAGGTGGAAGGAGTCTAAATTGCAGGGCTGACTGCACGTTCTCTTTGCGCCTATTAAAAGACATTTTTATGATTGTTGGAGCCTTCAGACATGGAGTGTTGGAAGTTATAAGAACAGCTGTCCCTCCCGTGCGAGGATCGCCTTGCCAAACGTCATCAATGACATGCAAATAAGAGCATCCCACGATCCACTTATAATCGTGACACCCACATGAGATGTTGATATCTCCCTCTGGTGCTTTGCCGTCCTCGAGCGCGCTCAAATTATCCGTTAAGCATGGATCTGCATTCGACATACTACCATCTGTGGATCAGAGTCGTGATACCCCCGGATGGCATTGAACTTTCCGGTGTTCCAAGGAAAGAAAGCAGCAATGGAATGCTTTCTATATAAGAACCGATCAATAGCAATCTTCCAGCAACAGCCCAATGTCAATTGCAATCATGGTTGGCCGTCAGACGAACGCCTATCTGTTTCTCACAATCCTTCTCGCTGGCATTCTTGGTGTCCAACCAATTTTAGGTCATCTTCGACGGCACCGGACATGGAACCATCATCCAAGAGGCCCGGATTAAGTTCACACCAGAGATAGGAAGAAGCGGGAGTTAACCACCGGATGCGCTTATACGTATCCCTATCTGCCTTCTAATACTCGTAGAAGCCTTTGCCTGCCTTGCTGATTGTCAGAAATACTGGTCAATAAAGGTCATCGAAACAGCGGAGCATACCTTGCGACCCACCCATCCCGCATCAACCATGCGACCAAGGAGTACGCTAGGTCGGTATTTATCGTCCCCCGTTTCTCTGTGCAAAGTCTGTTGTATGGCCAAGCAAGTATCCAACCCAATGCTGAAATGTATTTTGGAATACAGAAAACAACATCAATCATGAAGAGAACTTACAAGTCAGCCAATTGCAGAGGTCCTGACGGGCTTGAAATAAGTAAATGGTCAATCCAAGCAACAGTGTCATCATACCCATTGGGTGAGCCATCCCAAGTCTTAGAGTCTTGTCAATGTCCTCCTTTGTTGCAACACCCTTGATGTCAAGTCCTGTCAATGAAGTCGTCAACAACACACGAAACAGAAACCGACCTTTTCTAGGCACATGATCGCCTCATTCAGGAACGGCATCAACAACGCATTTGACACAAATCCCGGTACGTCAGCTGACTGAGTAACCTCTGAAGAAGGTATTCGTAGCTCTCAAAAAGATACTCGGCTGAATCGCATACCTTTTCCGCAAGCTTCTGCAAAGCTTTGTGCCCTGCTGAGCGTGCTGGGGCTTGTTTGCAGGCCTGCAATTAACTCGACCAATTTCTGAATCATGTTCTCAAGAAGACCACCGATAAGAGTTTGTCAGGACTCACCATTACGGGAACTGGATTGAAGAAATGTAATCCGACCACCATCTCGGGTCGGGCAACAGAGGCAGCGATCTTTGTAATGGAAATGGAGGAAGTGTTCGTGGCGAGAACCGAAGATGGCGCACAGATCTGTGACAGTGCCGAAAAAATGCTCTGTTTGACTAGCAGATTCTCTGCGGCTGCCTATGAAAGTGAATATGGCGAATAACTAATGAGAACTGTCCAGCTGTGCTTGGAACACTCTGGCGACGCACCTCGACTACAAGGTCGCAATCCTTCAGTTTGTCCAAGGCAGAAACAACGGAGATACGCGAGTGCACATCTTTGCTTTCATCTGTGGAGATCCTTCCTTTATGGACGTCTTTCGCTAACAGAGAAGCAACAAGTTTTAATCCTCCTTCGATTTGTTGAGAGGATTTGTCGAACACCTTGACTGGCAACGCAGCTCTAGATGCGGCCGTCAGGGCAATGCCCATGCCCATTTGACCGGCTCCGACAATGCCTACGGTGCGAATTGCTAGATGACCAGCCATGAGACGCTGCACAGGTGGATATTAGTGGATTGAAAGAAAGTATGTAGCATACAAGGGCCAGTGCCAAGGGTCACATGCTTTAGCTTGCTTCCGCTGAACTCCCCGAGAATGTGATACTGCATATATGTCAAGGGGTTGGAGGTTGCTCCGGCATTTCTCTGATAAAGTCCGTAATTGACATTACTTCCCGCAACGCGTGCGGTTATCAAGAGTAGCGAATGACATGCATTACATACTGGGTCGCCTGACTGGCAATTTCATCATCTCCACGGTGCGCGTCCACCACGATCCGCGCCGGTCCCCTCTCCATCTTCGCCTGATGATTGGGAATCGTCAGCTTCTTCGCTTTGGTCCGCAACATCTTCATTCTCTGACCAATTGTTCATAAGAATCGGATGCTCCGCGGTCCTTGCGGGGGAACCATCTCTCTGAAGTCTCTTGGACGACTCTTCGGACGGAGGTTGACCTGCGGCACTGGCGGAAGAATCTTGTCTTGCATAGGGCGGCGTCAAGTTGGGTATGAACTCGGCAAGGGTCTGCACGATCAGTCGGTGGTCATCGTCATGCGTTAACCCAGCGATGGCAATCGCACCGAACGGAGCAGCAGGTGCGTTCTGTTCAGGAAAGTATTCAGACCAAGCATCTCGTAGAGGATTCTTAGACAAACTCTGAGATAGACAGGAAACCCTGTTCCTGATATCAGCATAGCGACGAGATATTCACCGTTACGAACGCACCTCCACCAACAACTGCGTATTGCGGCCAACTCAATCCCGCCTCTTCGGGACCTTTTCCCGTCGCAAGCATTCGACACTCGATGAAGGCAGAGGAATGTCCAAAGCGACGGACAGTGTTTGTTTTGGCAGCCGCCCATGTAGCAAGATCTGCAGCGTCTGGTGGGTCGCCTCCTGCCACACATTGGAATAATACCGCGCCAGAAAACGTGGAAATCGATATGACAATGGGATTGCGTAGTGCACTAGATGCGGACAAAGATATATGCTTTGCACGTAAAGCGAGTCCTAGATCGAATGCAACGGCGGCCGTAAAGTAAGGGAAGCGGTGTTCCCTCTCCTCTTTCAAATAGCTGGCTAGCTTCTCCAAATATATGCTCGGCGAAAGTCGAGGGCGTCCTGGCTGCTCGGTGTAGATGGTCTGTTCAGACATTACTGCTCGAGTAAGTGGTTTCGGTGGATAAGAAGTGTCATGTATGCATGAGAGATCCGTGTAGGTGGGGGTGGATCCAGGAGCAGAAGATGGAGGAGAACAACCAATGCTGTTGGGTGACAATCACATGATGGGTAAAGAAGCTGTTCCCGAATGAGCATGCAATCGGCCAAAGAGAATAGTAGGGGCGCCGCGGCCATTGGCGGGGGGGCGAACAGGAGGGTTGATGGTGGTCCGTAGAAGATTCAGCCGGTGGACAGAACGATGGCAGAGAAGACTGATAGATTTGGTTCTCGTAAATGGGGTCCAGCCGCGGCCAAAGCGAGTGGTGAGAATGACAGAGCCAATGTTGCCTTATGGGCTTGCATGCCAGATCATCTGCGTGGTGCGGACTGCTGGCCTTTACTATGTCCATGCCACGGAAAAGACCAACACAGGGTAGGAGAAGGGGAACCGACGGGGCAGAGAACCACAAGGTAAGCACGTGGCTCCAACACCATCCTCGGCATTCTCACCGCCCCGCCCCGACCTGTCCCTCCGGAGCATATGCATTTGCTTTGCCACCTGTCCTTCTCCACAGTGAGATTGATATAGGTGATTCACACAGAGTCAGGGGTCGAAGTCGGGGCACATCAGTGCGGTAGAATCCTTACCGGAGTAGGAGACTCAACTCCTGATATCCAATCGGGTTAAATTGGAGACACGCGGTTATGCTTGATAGGATAGTGAGGGAATCGTTAGTTGGAATGAAGGTTGGAAAGCACTGTGTGGGTGTAGATAACGTAGATTATCAGTTGGCGGATCAAATGGGTTAGCGGGTCACCATATAAAACATAGTAACTTTCGGTCCTGATTACACCACAACACACTTAAAAATGCCCTTGTACTTTTGGACTCACTATATAACTATGAGGCAGGCTACCTCTCAGTGGTATTCAATATCTCAAAAATAGCCATCTTTCTGTCATACTGTGCTTGGGCTCCAAATTTGCTTCCGTTTTTCCAGTTCGGTGCAATAACAATTATTTGAGCATTTTCAAACAGTGAGCAATGAAGCCCTG